TATATATATATATAGTATAACACATTTGACTTTTCCTTCCTATTAATTAAAGTTTTACAGATATCTTGCTTTAAATATCAATTAAAATGAAGAAAATCAGGACATTGTCCTAAGAATCTCATCTAATATATTAAAAATGTTAGAGAAGAGGAACCAATATATATTTGAACCTTTTCTTCATCTTGCAACTAAATGCCTTCAGGACCTTACATCTTTCATATCTTGATCAGTGATTTTGTTTGAAAACTTGTGAATTGCATCTGTCAAGCTATGCCCTCCAGCGCTATGTCCTACCAATAATACCTGTATTTCCAGAGGTAGACTATAATTTTTCATGCTGAGTTCACTCTAAGTATGATACCTTTTCTAATCACTTAAATGTAGAGGAAGTAAGTAACCTTTTTGTGGTCATCTGACGATGATAAGAAGTCGATGAGCGGCTTTTTGTAGTCTTCAAATGAAAGAATGGTTTGGGATCGGTTTGATAAATGCTGGCACGTTCGAGTTCAATACATGTAACTCTATAGCCAGAATTCTCCATTAGGCATCTGATTTTGTACCAGCACCACCCTCACCGACAAATGCCATGCATCAGAACGAAGTGTGCTTTATTCAACAATACCAGTTTTTTCTGCCAACTCTTCTCCTATTGATAATTTATTCTCTCTGTGTGTGAATTATATATAAATCTATATAGAATAGTCTTGACTCTTACAATATCGTTTTATATTTGGAGTGGTCTATACATCATAATTTAGATTACTGCATAGTGTTATTTTGTATCAGATTTTTTTTATTTTGTGTCCTTCTTGCCAATGTACTAGTCATAATAATCAAGACATATTTCATCGTCCCTAAATAAAATTAGCACGACAACAGTAGTAGTTTCATAATTATAAGCTTACTTATGTGCAAATCGTCCCCAAATATTGTTTCATGAAGGGTGGATGAATAGTTAGTGTTTTTACTTGAATGGTATGTTAGACATCATAGAATGAAATATATTTCAAGAAAGAAGACGTGTGTGACATTTCTCCCCCTTTATCCTACTATATCTAGTCTAATATACACATTATACCATAGGCCTTCTCTGATATAGTTGTGATAAATAAAAACAGGGACAATAATTTAATTGCTATCCCTTGATAGAAAAATATAATGGGGTTTCCTTGCTTGTATGTTACATGAGCTATTACGAAAATATTTCAAATCTTTGACATTATTAAACGCAGTTTTTATTTGTTTATACCATTCTTGTTTATCTTTCATTTTCCGCTAGAGGTTTTCGTTAAATTTGCATACGACCGATTTGGGAAGAAATACCAGAATACATTGGATTTCCCAAAGCTATTGAATTTGTCATAAAAGGGGAAAGAATGTGTGACAAGACATTCATACACATAGTGTGATTGGTATATTTATGTGAAACTGAGTTATGATGCAAGATTATGATAATTTTCATTTTCACTCAACTATAAAAATTTATAGTAGCATGATAAGAAAACAAAAGCCACATGCTTTTTTATTTATTTTATTTTTGAAGACAAGATCTTGATGAATGAATTATTAAGAAAGGTTTCGCATTTCTTTCTAATTTAACATTAAATAAAGTAAATGTTAATTGTACTCAAATGATAATATCCTGAGTCCTATTTTATTTAGTGTATCTAAATTTAAGAAGCAACAAAAAGAAAAATGCAATTGTTTATTAGGGGAAAAAATAATTAATAAAGTTAAATATTATCTATCATTTTGTAGGTTTAAATTGAATCTTCAGAGTTCAATGATTTTCGCTTGCAAATTAACTTTTATGTACAGATATTCATACTATACAAAAATGAGAATGTAAAGTTACTGTGGAAATGAACAGTGAATTATTCCATTTTATCTTACTATAGCCTTTTTTTATTTTATTCCATCTTATCGCATTGCAGCCATTTTGTTTCCCCGGTATTTATGCAAAAACGACGCCGTGTTTAGTTTTGTCTAATTGGTACAGTGATGTTTCCCCTTTCTCACCCGAAGTTTTCTACTTTTTCACAGAAATCACACCTTATTTCTTCTTCTTTTATTATTCATAAAGAAGAAAAGTTATGAACTACGGAGTAGAAACTTTGAAATTCTAAAAGAAACATAGAACCAATAGGAAGGTGAAGAAAATAAGAAAACAAGGAGAAAAGGAGCATTTTTCCCTTGCAGGGGTTAGGGAAATCACTACACAATCTTAAATTGTCATAATGATCAACTCTACTAAACAAATGACAGCACAATATCAGTATTTGAATCCCATATTTCAAATTTATTTATTTATTTTATATTTTTAATTTTTTTGCCCCCACTGGGTGTCAGTTTCTTCACCCAAATGCCAATTGAGAAGCAGAATGGTGGGATGGCATATCAATTTTGGGATGTTACTTCATATAGAGAGCAGTATAGGAAAACTGGAGGAAGAGAAGGTATATTCTAAAAGGAATAAAGAAACGTGAAATTCTACTTTGCATTGCTAAATCCCTACACTGATCATCATAAAAACTTTGAAATATGCAATTTTTTCAATTTTAATTAAATAATATTTATTTTTAATTTTAATTATTTCAATTTAATTTAAAAATTTTATAATAACTTTTTTCTTTGTTTCTTTTTATTGTCTCCCTATTCTCAAAAAGAAAAATGAAAGAAAAAATATTGACGAGTCTTAAAGTCTCCGAGAGATGAATTGGTATTCTTTTATGTGTACACCTTTATAATCCACCAAAGCAACATTAATTTTTTTGTGTTTCAAAGACCCACATTTTGCTTTCAAATCTTTTCTTGATCAGGGATTTAAATATTCCGTTTTGAATTTGAATTTTTTGGGTTTTGTTTAAAGGTCCAGGTTGACTATCTTGAAATTTTAATTCAGAGTTTTTGTCAATTTTCTTGAGCATTTATTGAGAGTGAATGTGAGTTTAAGAATCAATCTGTGGCAATGTCCAAATCTGAATCAAAAGTGAGGGTTTAATAAATAATGTTTAGTTTTTCCTCTCTTTTTTGTTTTAATTCATGATGTTCTTGGTTTTGATATTTAGGCAATGGTCGGCAGAAAAGAGGTATTCTGGTAGATGAAGAAATGACTGCAATTTCTTACAGAAGAGTTAAAATGCGTGATCTTGAATCCTTTCCTCATTCTGAAAGTAAGTCTTCTCTTAATGACCGTTTATGTGAAGTTTCAATTTATATTTGGTTAATGATATTTTATAAATTGAGAGAATTCATGATACAAATTTGAATTTGTTGAAAGATAAGAAACTTTCCCTGGGCTTAATTGTACCATTTTCAGTCTGATATGTGGCTTATGAGTTTTTGGTATTTAGTTAAAACTACTCAAATGCTTCGATTAAATTTTTTGTGAAATACTATAGCACTTTAGGTATACTTTGTCAATCACATGGTTACTCATGCCAATTGAAAATAGGAGTTGAGTTAAAAACTTATACCGTGATATTTGATATAGTGTAAATGAAAATAGGAGTTGAATATTGAACAGCGTGCCAAATGAATACCAGACTTGAACAAAAATAAATCAAAATACCGTCACGATTGAGAGCCTTGATTTCTTTCTTGAGAATATAAGAAATAAAATAAGAATTAAAACTCGATGACACAAATATTTCTCATTTTCAAAAATTTCAAATACTTTTTCTAAATTCTACACATTCCACACTAATAATAACATAATAAATACAAAACTCGTGCAACGCACGAGGTGAAGACTAGTAATTATAAATAGATGGATATGAGTAGGTATATAGACCTGGGATGAAACATAGGTAGAATATAACTATCATATGATTATTTACTTTCAAGAAAATGCAAGCACGCACTACATGCGATTCTTTTCATGGTCATGTGAAGATAAGGGGAGGAAGATGAGTGGATTAGTGTAGTCTTCAAATGAAAGAATGGCATTAGGACCAGTTTGATTGTCGCCAACACCTTTGAGGTTAATACGTGTAACTCTATAGCCAGAATTCTCCATTAGGCATCTGATTTTGTACCAGCAATATCACCCTATCCTACCAATGCCTTATTCAACCTCTTCTCTTTCAATTAGAGGAAGTGCTAGAAAATTTGTTCAATGTGGACACAATTTAATATGCATCGAATTTTGAGTTTTTGGACATGGATTAATGATGATAAAATATAAAATAATATTACAAAAATACTATAAATGACATAATTTATAAGTTACACTTGTTCCTTTCGAGTTTTAATACTTTAATATCATTGTATAATAATTTCATTATCAATCTTCAAAAATGTATCTCATTCAAAAAATTGGATTTTCTATGCTAGGATGTATTACCCTTTTGTCTTACAAAAAATTTGAATATCTCGTTGTTAAATAGAAACTCTACTTGTTCATAGATGCATTCTATCGAAGTTGGGAATATAAAACTTTGACCAGTCATATTGCAAGTGCCTATTACACTTATTGTTAGCATACTAATTCAACAAATAGGTAAGTGTTAGCAAACTTTAACATACTAATTCGACAATCTTTGGCCCATCCCACAATTGCATTCCAGATAGTGAAATTACGGTAGGCCAGACTTTTAAATTTCAAATTTCAAAATTAAGATTTACTAGTTCTTTTTAAAAACCAGATAATAAAAGATATTTTAAATAATAATAATTATATTACAAAATATTTAATTCATCCCACCTAACCACACAAAATCCTAATTATTTTCATACTCTCTATTATCTCTCTTTTCTCTCTATTCCATTGGGAGCCATCGTTGAGAACCATTGCCGGAGAGTGCCCCTACGACATTGTTGCACGATATGCTATTGTTGTTGTGCGATCATCTGTTGCTGCATGTTCATTCTTCTTGCACCATTTCAGATCTATATTTTTATTTCTGGTTTTGGTGGTCGACGATTTTCTATGTTGTTCGATTGTGGTGTGATGTTGGTGGGGTGGTGTTCTGTGTTATGTGGGTGGCGTGCGGAGCAAGATGGTATGTGGTGGGCAGTGCGAGGTTGTGGTAATGTGCAGTGATGGTGGTGTGTCGGGGAGAGTGTTTGTGTCCATTTATTGGGATGGTCATGGTGGTGCAACGATGATGTTTGACGGTGGTGGAGATGGTAGTGCAGACAATGATGTTGGTCTAGATGGTGGGTGCATGCTTTTATGTTTAGCAGTATTGAAGATGGTGCGGATGGTGGTTTTGGGGGGGGGGGTTATAGTGGTTTTACGGAGTTTGGTGGTGGTGGTGATGATGTTGATGGTTTGGTGTGGTGGTGGTGTGTGGTTGTAGTTGATGGTGGTGGTGCTTATGGTATTGGTGTTTGGTTAGGGTGGCTTTGTTGGATCCAATGGTGGTAGAGGATTTGTTGGACCTGGTGGTAGCTGTGGTCGAAGAGGGTATGTTGGTGATGGTGGTGGTTTCCATGGTGTGGTAATGTTAGGGTGGTTTTATTGGCGACGATGGGGGTTGATCTAGAGTTGGTGGGGGTAAATTTGGCGGTGTGTCTAGCGGTGGTGGCCATGATGGTCGCCATGGTGATAGTGGTGGTCTAGCAGTGGTTGTCGTAGGGTACGATGTAGTGTGGTAGGGATAGGATGGGATGGGTAGGATGTGGTGGTGGTGATGGTTTTGGCGATGATAATTTTGGTGGCAATGCGGCTGGTGAAAGTGATGAGATGATGGTCACATATGTTAGCAGTGGTCACAAATGATCTGTCTTAGGTCTGAAAGTGTGATTGGAAATTCTGTAGACAAAATGGGCTTAATTGTATGTTTGTAAAAGTCAGAGACTCAATTGAACATTGTTGTAAAAGTCAGGGGCTTAAGGTGAAATTTTGTATGGATGAGGTAAATTAGTGTTCGAGTCATTGAAAGAGTCCAAAATGTCTAAGAAGATTACATAAGATCATCGGAATGCAATTGAAAGTCTAAAGGATATCAAAGAGCCACACAAATTATGTTCCGAATTTTCCGTCGTAACTTGCAATACATTTTTCACATAGAAAACGTTGGAATTTGGACAAGGCTTGCAGTCATTTGAGTTAGCTTTTCAACGCATTTTGAATTATTTCAATCGGACATCGGGAGAAAAAGTTATTATGAAAATACTAATGACTACTCAACTATCGCTTGCTCCTTGCTCGAGGGACGGTGTCATCCAACCAAACCCTAGGTCGCGATTTTGAGAGTTGTAAACAGCCCATGACACTTTTTTGCCCCTAACTATAAATACATAAGTCATGGACGTGAAATTAGATGTTGCCAAACATATTGATAACATTATTGAGTGATCCAAGCTGCAATTCGTTGAAGAATTCACATACATTCATCTTGTGATCCGGCAACCAAGATTTTGGAAAAAACATCAATCTTCATAATCCAAAGCACTGTGTCTTCCTTAATTTGTTGAAGAAGTGACTCTCTCATTGATGGATTGAGAGAGGTGGATTGAGGTACGGTTACAAGCATAAGAATATGCGGTTCTTGGTGTTCCACTTGGAGAGACGTTCAGTACAGATCATGAGGCTGTAAGAGATAGCAGATTGGGCTGCAGGAGTCTAGCATGAGGCTAGAGGAATCTACGGTAGCAGAAGGCTATAGGAGGTAGATCAAGAGTTTTAGCGCTAAAGGTATCTACGGCAATAGAAGGCTACACGAAGTAGATCAAGAGTTCTAGCGTTAGAGGTTTCTTTGGCAGTAGATCGTAAAGCTGTGGTAGCGAGTCTTAATGGGTAGATCATAGGTGTATCATTGTATGCTCTGAATTGTCGATAGTGGAAGTAACTAACTTGGTCTCAGAGTTTTTTCCCACGCTGGGTTTCTCCGTCAACATCTTTGGTGTTCTTTATTGTTGTTACTGCTTTCCAAATTATACTTGCAACATTTAAACTTAAGACAAATTGAATTGTATGATTAATCATCTAGACAATTAATTAAAGTGACTTGTTACTTTAGTTAACTTAATTCTGCACGTAAGGTCGAATTGGATAATTGACTAGAACGTAAACTCGGCAAATCCTAAAATTGTAGTGGTATTAGACCATTCTAGATTTTTTCAATTTGGTTCATTGTGATCATAAAATTAATTAATCTATGACCAATAAATAATATATGACAAATGAAAATGATAAATTGTGACAAAGAAATAATGTTTGGCCTAAAAAATTGTTAATTTGTAATCGATAATTTGATAATTTTTGAATGTGTAATAAGTTGTGATTTATAATATTTGTGATTTATGAATGATGAACAAATTTTTGCATGTAAAATTTTTTTAATTGTATCTGTAAAATACTTTGTGACATAAAAATTATAATTTGTGATCAAAAAATAATAAGTGACTAATTAAATCGTTAATTTGCAACCTTAATATATTTAATCAATAAAATATATAATTAATTAATTAAATCATAAATAAATTTTGATAAATATCTATTTTTTTGAAATTAGAAACCTTTCAATTATGGGGCACTAAAAAAAAAAAGAAAAAAGGAATGAGCCTGGGCCCAAAGTTTAGACCATATGAGGCTCCTCCCCTTCTTTCAATAATAGTTTTTCTCTGCTAATTCTTCTATTAATGTTAATTTCTCCTCTTTGTGTCTATATATCTTTGTTATTTCGGTAATATATTTGTTTTTGCTTCTTGTCGAGGAACACGCCATTGTAATTTGCACAAATATCCACCACATTAATAGTACTTCGAAAATTTATACTTCTCATTATTAACACATATTATCCCAATTATTGTTGCATTGAATTAATAATTTCATTTTACTAAATAGATATAATGGCGTGTATTTTAGACTTAATGGGATGAGATATAACTAAATGAGAAAGACAAATTACCATGTAATTTCAATTATCATATTGAGAAAAAATAAAAAAGGGATTATAAGTTCTATTGTTATCAATTCTAATATATAGCTCATCTAGAATGAAATATATATTTATCGGAATAAATAAGATGATGTGCCAAGGATGCTTAATAGGTTGCCCCTGCGGTATAGTACAGAGTTAGTTTTGAATTTTTTTTTTTTAAAGTCTTGTACGAGCTCTAAAGGCTTGTATGAACCAGGATTAGTATATAGACAATGTAACCCTATTATTCATACATAATAAAATTCTTCATACATCGTCAAATCACTTAAATCTATGTTCTTATTTTTTTGTCAATTTAATATTCTTCTTCATTATTATTGTTGGAATAGAAAATATCAAAATTGCAATGTTTGATGGTGTTAGAACATTGTGTGATATTAGATATGTGCCAGATTTGAGGAAGAATCTGATTTCATTGGATACTTTAGACTCTAACAGGTTCGAGTATAAGTCTAAAAATGGAGTAGTGAAGGTAAGTAGGGGTATTATGACAGTGATGAGGGGGGAGAAACAAGCATGAAATATTTAAAAGTTGTTGGAAACTATAGTTGTAGATGGAGCTGCTCTTGTAGGGCCTGATTGCATATGCGATTGGTGGGTAAGCGTGGTATGGTGGAGTTTCATAAGAGAAACCTTTTGAAGGGTGTCAAAACATGTAAACATGATTTCTGATAAATTTAATGATGCTCATTTCTAGAACAATCTAGAATTACTTGCCTAGAATTCCTTGGTAAGCAAGTATATTAAAAAATTAGAATTGTCTAGATTCCACTAAAGTAACTTGGACACCAAAAAACCTTGTATAGGTTGTAGACACTTGTAAAATTCTCTAGAAGATATGATAAGAGTCTATAAATAGAGCATGATCCCTCATTTGTTAGTAAGAAAAAAGAAGCTAGACAAAGCTCAAGCTATTGTAAGCTATCATCATTCTAATAAAATTCATTTCTCCTACCCACTTTGTCCACCAAATTACTTTCTACCAAAATCTTCCAAACTATTAACTTTCAATAAAAGGCCAACTATTTTTTACCTCCAAAATTATTCCATACAAAACATCCTCAATCATCCGATCTCATCACTACAACAACACAAAAACTATCAATTTCTTGGGCAATAGCATAGACTCGTAGTATGCAAATGAAAGAATGGTGATGGGATCGATTTGATCAATGCCGGAAACTTTGAGTTCAATACATGTAAGTCTATGATTAGAATTCTCCATTAGGCATCTGATTTAGTACCAGTACAACCCTCGCCCACAAATGCCATGCATCAGAACGATGTGTGCTTTATTCAACCCTCTCTTCCAAAACAATTTTTTTCTACTAATTCTTCCCCCATTGATGATTTCTTCTCTCTCTGGGTGTGAATTATATAAAAATCTATATAGAATAGTCTTTGACTCTTATAATATGATTTTATACTTGGAGTACTCTATGCCTCCGTTTGACCCTCATTACATCTCATCAAATTAAATTAAAAATTTCTCCCTCCTATAATAATTGAGATTATTATATATTGTTATTTTTTAAGAGATCTTTTATTTCTTTATTTATTTTTTTGCTTCTTTAATTATATGAATCGTCCTCAATTATTGTTGCATGAACGGTGGATCAATAACCAATATTTATACTTGAAAAAATATAGTTGTGTGAATGGTATGTTAGACATAGTACAATGAAATATGATTAAAGAATGACGTTGCTCCCTTTTTATCGTACTATATATAGTCTAATGTACACAATATACCATATGCCTTCTCTGATGTAGTTTTGCTGAAAATAAAAGAGACAATAATTTAATTGCTATCCCTTAATAGAAAAAAACATAATGGGGGTGTCTTTGCATGCGTGCTACATGAATAATTATGTAAAGATTTCAATCATTGACATATTTTTTTATTAATTATTAAAGTATTTATTAGATAAAACTTTTATTCGTTTATCCCCATTCTTGTTTATCTTTCATTTTTTTCCGAAGAAGAATTTATTGCTAGCGGTTTTCATTGAACTTTGCACACATGAATTTGGGGAGAAATGCCAAAATACATTGGATTTCCCAAAGCTCATGAATTTGTTAAAAAAGGAGAAATAATTTTTTACAAGACACTTGTATACATGTGTAAAGGTAAGAGTTTATGATGCAAGATTAGACTTGGGTAAAAGATCGAAAAATCGATCAAACTGAACCGACTCGAATTTGTTTGGGGCGATTTGAAACAGCTAATTGATTTGGTTCGATTAATTTTTAACCACAAACAAGGCGGATCAGGTCTGTTATAGGTTAAGACTCCAACACGCCTGTTAACCGACCCAATCCAACCCTATTACTTTATTTTTTTAATTCCAATTTTTATAAGTTTTTAAGTTAAAAGATTAAAAAAAAATCTTATCTAAAAAATTCCTTTCAATTCAGTTTATTGCAGACTTCATTAATTAAGATAGTTGTTGATATTTGGAGACATAAAATTCTCAAATTTTAAATTGTTAACGGGTTAAAGTGGCTGAATTAGCTGCAATACTTGTAAGGAAACATATATTTTCTTGGCAAAATATTGCAAGACAACTTGGCCAAAATTTGGCATTTGGTCACTGTTCAATTTTCTTTTAATAATTGTGAACATAAAGTGGTTCATCACTTTTTTGTATCACCATATGCATTTATATGAAGAAATGCTTACGTGTACTTTTCTTGCGCTAATTTATA